GCAACCTTCGCACCAGGCAGGCAAGTGACCATACGGTTCTTCCGGTCATCACAAACCCAACTATCTATGTTTCTAACAATCGAATCACCCACTACTAACACCCGCCTCTTCCTAACTGGCATTCCCTCCCCCTCAGAGGTATCCTCAGTGTGAGAGGATACCGCAACATCCTCTGGGAGGAGGGTCCCAACTATGAGATGGTTTCCCTCTGCTCCCATTGAATGCCCTGTTCCCTTGAGACTTTCATCCTCCTTAAGAGCACTGGGGCTCTCAGACTGGAGGTGGGACAGTACTACAGTGTCCCGGAAAGACTCATCAACATAGCTCTCTACCTCCCTTAGCTCCTCCAGTTCAGCCACCCTGGCCTCCAAAGCCCGAACTCGGTCTCTGAGGGTAAGGAGCTTCTTGCAACGAGTGCACACATACGCCACCCACCCACAGGGCAGGTAATCATACATGTTACACTCTACGCAATAAACAGGGTAGCCCCTACTCTGCTGCTGGGCTTCTGTCTCCATTTTTCTAATGAATAAGTTTAGGTGTAAATGGGATTCTTTTTAAACCTCTGGAATATAGATTATTCTAAGAGTTATGTTTTAAAGAAGGCCCAAAGTCACTAGTGCCCTCTAACCTCCCCCTATAACCTCCCTCTCTCAACTCTCCTGTTAGCTGTTCCTGTTCGTAAGCTCCCTGGTCGCTGAGTCACCGGCTTATATAGCTCTGGTAGCCCCTCCCCCTGACTGAGGCTCAGCCAATTAACAGAGGCTTCTAGGTTTCAAACCTTTTAGAAGCTCCACAAGGGTCCCGTTTTTACTCCCTCTTTTACCTGGAGAACTCTCCTGTTAGCTGTTCCTGTTCGCCTTAGCTGTTCCTGTTCAATTAAATTCTTATCTGAGAACCTTAATTTACAAAATTAAGATAATAACACAATGATTTCTCCAAAGAGTAGTTCTTCAAACCCACTGCCACCTCACAAACACAGCCATATCAAAGAAAGCACAGATACAACACAGCACACATATTCCTCATCTGAACAAAACTAGTATCCTGTTGAATTTTCTGAGATGCCCAGCTTAGAATCTGTTATTTTAAGGCTGTTGGGAGACCAACTTTTGGAGGGAGGACACAAAAAGTGTATCAAAATTTGTTTCATATGTTCTGAAACAAAAAGTTAGTATGGTATTAAAGAATCAAACTCCAAGGGTATGTCTAGACTGCATCCCTCTGTTGGCAGAGGGATGCAGTTTAGGCAGGTTGACATTGCAAATGAGGCAGGGATTTAAATATCCCGCACCTAATTTGCATGAAAATGGGCACCGTGTTTTGCCAACTCAGCACTTTGTCAGCAAAAAGCGGCAGTCTACAGGGGGATCTGTCGAGAAAGAAAGCCTTTTTTGACAGATCCTGTAAACCTCCTTGAATGAGGCATAAGGGATCTGTTGAAAAAGGCTTTCTTTCTCGACAGATCCCCCTCTAGACTGCCGCTTTTTGCCTACAAAGCGCTGAGTCTGTAAAACGCGGTGGCCATTTTTATGCAAATTAGGCATGGGATATTTAAATTCCTGCCTCATTTGCAATGTCAACCTGCCTAATCTGCATCCCTCTGTCAACAGAGGGATGCAGTCTAGACATACCCTGAGATACCACTGTATTACAATATATTTTAAAATATTATAATATAGTATAAATATAATATAAATATATTTTGTTGCTATGCTACTCAAACAAATAGAATAAGCTGTTCTGTACTTTCAGCCCTTCCTTTTTTCCTTGCAGTGGAATATTATATAAGTATATCTGCCTTTAACCACGTTTCACTTTGAATTTATTTTAAACAAAATCTTCAAGTTTTTTTACACAAAAAAACAGTGGTACAGGCTTTTTGCCCATGTAGACAAGGAATCCCCTACTTTTGTGATATAGCAGAGGTGTACATAACATTTTCATACAAACCTTTTAAAAAAAACTAGGAAAAAAAGTTAGATGACTGAATGACTATTTAAGATCAAAACAGAAAGCTAGGAAAGAATAAATTCTTACCCTAAAAAACTCTTTTGTGGAGCCAGAATCTAGCGTCCCATAAGCAATTTCTGTTTGCTTAGAAAGATCCTCTGCACTTTCAATGGGAGACACCATCCTCTCAACCGTCAGGAAGGCAGCTAAGTTAGCCGTGTAGGATGAGATTATGATCAGGGTAAAGAACCACCACACACCTCCAACAATGCGCCCAGACAGGGATCTAATAACAAGTATGAAATGGACTTGTAAAATGAAATGAATGTCCTAAAAGGAACACAAGTTATCAGTTTAATGCAAATGATGCATTATAACAAAGGGAAATACTTCAGGTTATCCTGTACTGTTGCTGTGCAAGCTAATCAAACAGGAAATTAATTCACTGTAAGGTTCTGCTGAGTGAGACTGTAAGCTTCACTAGATCTGGTGGACTTCGCTGAAATCAGGACTCCAGGCTTGAGGTTACTTTATGCAGAATTAGTGCCCCAGTTCTTCAGAGAGGTGAATATCCTGGAATGAAACTGCTTAAATCACCGTGTGCCACATTAACAAATAAGCTTTTCATGCTTTCTCATTTGTTGTCCTGCACATGACACATGAAAAAACAGACAAGGAATTCAAGTACCACCAATGAAACAGCATTTCAGATAAACTTAAAAATTGAAAGGTTCAAAGCTGCTTATTTTCATGAGCCATTCAGACAAAGAATGATATCCATAAAACAATGACTTATGCTGCTGTGGACATACAGAAATTAGAAGGAAATTAATATATGTAGAAAAATGGGTAGTGCTACTTGCAGTAGGCTTTAGCCAAGTGAATCTCATAAACTAAATAATAAACAACTATTTTTGAAAATACAAGCATTTAGCAAACTGGGGAATAGACATGAAAAACTGTCACTACAATAAAATGGAGTGAGAAAAAGTACAGGTTTTAAATAGTCATCTGATACTTTAATTGCAATGTGTGTGTGTGTGTGTGTATGCCTACATTACCCTCCTAGTTCGAACTAGGAGGGTAATGTAGGCATACACACACACACACACACGATATGTCTACACTACCCTGCTAGTTCGAACTAGCGGGGTAATGTAGGCATCCCGCACTTGCAAATGAAGCCCAGGATTTGAATTTCCCGGGCTTCATTTGCAAGTGCGGTATGCCTACATTACCCTCCTAGTTCGAACTAGGAGGGTAATGTAGGCATACACACACACACACACACGATATGTCTACACTACCCTGCTAGTTCGAACTAGCGGGGTAATGTAGGCATCCCGCACTTGCAAATGAAGCCCAGGATTTGAATTTCCCGGGCTTCATTTGCAAGTGCGGTATGCCTACATTACCCTCCTAGTTCGAACTAGGAGGGTAGTGTAGACATACCGTGTGTGTGTGTGTGTGAGAGAGAGAGATCATTGTTTTGCATCTCCTGTCAATGAAAAGGAAAGCAATCTCAAGAAAAATAGATCAAACAATATAGAGTTAACTAGTAGAGAAATTCAATTATTTTCAAAATTGGGAAAATATAATAGAACTGCTAATGCTATTGATATCAAAGTCAAACTTCAGTCTACACTTGAAATTTTCCAATTTATTACTGTGCTGTTTCCTAGCAAAACATTATACTAAGATATATCTATAACCTTTGAGAATGTGCTTAATAACTTGGCAAGAAATCTGAGTATATTTGAGCATAGGAAGCCCATAAATACAGTGGTACTGCACCTCAGATATTTTGCTAGTGTATCTGTACTACGTAATGTATAAAAAAATTACATGTCAATCACAAAACCTAACATAGGTAAATGCAAATTTAAACTCAGTAATAAGAAATATATTAAGTCAGAAAAAATTCTGAGATTTTAAGAAACGGAAATTATTTCTATAAAGCTGATTTTTTAAAACTGGGAACAAAAATGAGAAACAATTCTAGATAAATCATGTTTGTGACTCTTATTGCAGCAAACCCCAGTGGTAATAAAGATCTATTCAGAATACCTAGCTCTGTGCAGGACTCTCTCACTAGAAGCTCTACTTAAAAATAAATGTTAGTATACCGCCCAGAATATGCTACTGAAACGGTCTATAGATGAGAAATTCTGAAATCCCATCCTATTGTTTCTAGATTTTACTATGTTCTGCAAATCCTTTTCTCCCCTCAGAGAAAAAAAATCATGTTGGGGGTACAACATCCATCCTAATGCTCTCTGTTTGTAAGGTAATAATTAAAGAGTTGATCACATGATAAGTGCTATGTATTTGCAAGGTAATATGTGTGTAATTTCTGCCTTTAAAAATCACTAATGCTGAATGTTACATTCACATTACAAGTAATTGGCAATAATTTAGAGAAATATGAACATAATCTTTCAGTCCTCAGGTGGGCAAACTTCCATAATCTTTGTAAGAAGAATCAAACTTAGTGTTATTACAACTGTTTCTTTAGTTGCCTTGTACCTTACATGTAAAAGCTATTTAGTTACCATTTATGTTCCGTTTTCCCATAATACCCACCCCTATTAAAATGAACAATATCTTTTTTTGACATACATTTTGAACCACAATTTCAAAGGTGGGTGCAAGAGGTGCACCAGAAATAACTTACACTTATACAAGCAAATGAGCATTAACAGCAATATCAGGTAATTCTGTACCCAATTACTCAATTGTGTACACAGTCACCCAATTTGCACATGATGCTTTGCATGTACAAAGGTAGGATTTGGCAGTTAAAAAGAGTGCATGTACATTTTGTAAATGGGGGTCACAGAAGTCCTCCTTGTGCTAAAAAAGTACTGCTAAAGTTACCCACCATTGTTACCACTTTTCTAACTCTACCTGTAGTAGCCATGGTAGGAACACTAGTGTATTGGAAGTGGGTCTGGCCCACAAAAGCTCATCACCTAATAAACCATCTTGTTAGTCTTTAAGGTGCTGCATAGTCCTGTCTTTTGTTTCTGCAAGACCAGACTAACTGGGCTACATCTCTATTATTAGGTCCTATGTGATCTGATCTACTCAGAGCAGGTCATGGTATTTACAATTCTAGGACCCATTGTCAATGTGTCTTCATTAATGTGTCCCATACTGTTCCCACTAGTGGAAATGAAATGGTGATAACAATGGTGAGCAAAAGTATCTTAGTCCAAACACAGCCTATGCTATCCTCTGTATAATTTGGAGGAAGTAGAGATTTTTTATTTTTCACTTTAGTTAATTTGTTGGCTGCTCTGTAACCATAGTGATGGGCTTGATATAAGAACACAGATTGAGTTTTCAGCCTTATTAGTTTTCTAGTAATACATCAGTAAAAAGACAAAGAGATTATTGTAGAACTGAATGTTTTCATTTATGAATTGTGATTAAAAAGAAAACGGGAATTTCACACACAGTACTGACACCATATCTGCCAAGTACATCTAAAAATAATCTGAATTTTATATATCTTTTGTGATGATAATGTGCTAATCTTACTTTTGACATTTTAACAAACCAAAGTGTAGCAGTTCTCATGTTTTGTTACCCAGGGGCACCATTTAGAGGGTGAGAGGGGCTCTAGCCTCCTCCCTTCACCTTAGGCCCAGACAGAGCTCTTTACTGCAACATAGCCTGAGTGTGATGAATTCCAAAGATAGAATCAGCACAGACTTTGTGGCAGGGAGTTTATTTATAAACAGAGGCAGGATGATTAAAGTAACAAAAGGCTTGTCATTAAAGTAAACTAAGGTACATTAGATGAACCCTAAAGCATTGTCAGGCACTCCAGTTAAAAGACAGGAAAGCATGGGAATAACTGGTAAGAATGGGGTGAAGTAAATAGTGGTATCCTAGAGGGGTCTGTACTGAGACCAGGTCTGTTCAACACATTCATAAATGATCTAGAAAAAGATAAACAGTGAACTGGAAAAATCTGCAGATGATACAAAATGTATTCAGGATAGTTAAGTCCAAAGGAGACTGCAGAGAATTACAAAGGGATTTCAAAAAACTGAGTGACTGACGGGGCAACATAGTGGCAGATGAAATTCAATATTGATAAATGCAAACTAATGCACATGGCAAAATATTATCCCAAATATACATACAAAATGATGTGGTCTAAATTAGATGAACCCATCAATAAACAAATATTGGAGTTATTGTGGATAATTGTCTGAAAATATTTGCTCCATGTCTAGCGAGCATAAAAAGAAAAACCTAACAGAATATTGGGGCTCATTAGGAAAGGGCTAGACAATCAGACAGAAAATATCACATTGCCTCTATGTAAATCCATGTTATGGCTACATTTTAAATATTGTGTGCAGATTTGATCATCCGACTTCAGAAAAGATATATTGGATTTGGAAAAGGTCAGAGGAGCGCCACAGAAATTATTAGTACTGAGCTCATTCCATATGAAGAGAGATTAAAAAGATGAGGACTTTTCAGTTTGGAAAAGAGATGATTGGGGACATGACAGACAGAGCTTTATCAAATCACGAATGGTGCAGAAAAATTGAATAAGGAAGTGTTATATATTCTTTGATATAACACAAAACTAGGAGTCACTTGATGACATTTATAGGCAGCAGATTTTAAAAGAATCAAGAACATATGTCTTCAGAGTCAACCTGTGGAACTGTTTGCCAGAGGATGTTATGAAGGTCAAGACTATAACAGGGTTCAAAAAAGAAATAGATACGTTCACGGAGAATAAGTCTTTCAATGTCTATTAGTCAGTATGGGCAGGGATCCAACAACATACTCCTTGCCTCTGTTTGCCAGAAGTTGGGAAACGGTGATGGAATGAATCACTCAATAATTACCTGTTGTGTTCATTCCCTCTGAAGCACCTGGCATTCACTACTGTCAGAAGACAGGATACTGAATTAGATGGACCTTTGGTCTGGCCCAGTATGGCCATTCTGATGTTATTACATAGAACCAAGATGTATCTGCCCTCTGCTGTAACTAGATACCACTCCCCTCCCAGAGCTGAGATAGAACCCAGGAGTTCTGAAAGGGTTTCTCTCTTTCTCTCTGCGGAGTTAGTAACAAATAAGGATATATATTAAAATTCTAAACCCAACAGTACTCCTTAAGTGACTTGCCACAAGATGTCAGAACTGTATTATTAAGCTGAATCTGTGTAATATTTATTTGTCTTCTTTTGTATTGGAATTAGATTAGATACAAGGCTTCTGTCAACTAACTGCTAAATTATCTGACAGAAAATTAGAGTTTTCAAGTGCATAAGTAGCCTATGGAATCATGGTTAAAGATATCCGCTTAACCAAAATCTGAAATGGTGCCCCTGGCTACACCACATGAGAAATGCCATGTTAGCAAGAGGTTTTGCTGATACCTTCCATTTTGTTTTGCTCAAAAGTAATCATTCATACATTACAGTGTAATCAGACACAAACTCAGAGGATAAAGAATTTTCCCCTCTCCTGTGTTAGAATGTTGAAAAGAAGGTGAACTCACACCTCATGGTTAGAAAGATCCTCTGATTTAATTCCTATAGTCCCAACTGTCATATTTCAATTGTTCACATAGGGTCCTGATTCAGCAAAGTAATTATACATGCACCAAAATACTTTGCTGAATCAATGCCCCAACTGCTTGTGCACAAAGGAAATAGAATCTTTAATGAACTGTAAATGAAAAAAATGTGGGGAAAGTAAAGTGCTCACTTGTCTTCCAAAGCACATGTAATACTTGAAGAGAGGTATATGTATTTTTAATGAATCAGATCCTTATTTTCATCCTAGCAATTTACTTCACAATTCCTATAAAACTGATCCATGCAAAATCAAAGCAGTTGTCTGTAACCACTTCACATGGCTTTAGAGGAAATGGATGAGATTTTTTTCCCATTTCTAGAGCTCTCTCTGTGGAAAAATGATAGGTTAATATGTATGTGACATGGTATGGAGGGAAAGTGCTGCTTCTGTTGCTAATGAATAATGTGTTACCCTTTTTTCCCATTACAGTTACTGTTAACCAGATGCACTGTAAAATGGGAATATGCAGCAAAAACACGGTACCCCTCCAAGAAGGCATGGAATGAAGGAACCTTATGCATTTTACAGCCTCTGCATGGTGTATATAAGTTCACTGGGGAAATGTATGATCAACGTTAGGAGGATATCGATCGAATATTTCACTTGCCTGCACCAATGGCAACTATTTTCATTTCAAGGACTTTTCAACTCTTAGGAAAAGAAAGTCAGTAACCAGTTTCCTCTTGAGAGTGACTATATATGCACCATGAAACTCCATCTGAGACCAAAAATGCACAAAGCTGAAATGGGCAAGTAACCAACCTTGGCGAAATATCGCATCCTTGCTGCATAAAGGCACCAAGGGAAAACCAGAGACTATTAAATATCCCAAATTCATTAGTTGATTCGTTACTTTGCGTTTCTCTTCCATCTTCAAACTCCTCAGTGTGCCACTCGTATGGACTAAATCTGCTGACCAGGAATAAAACTACACTGACCCCAATGTAGGCAAAAACAATACACATCCAGATCTCGTATGCTAAGGGATCAAGAAACGAAAACACTCCTGGCTTAGACTTCTGTGGCTTCTTGATCATTATAGATATCCCGAGGCTCATAAAGGGCTTTGAGAAGTCAATCACCTCTTCTCTCACCAATGTTATAGTTAATGGAGCGATTGCAATGTCGGCTTTCTGTAAAGGAAACAAAGTATGGTAATAATAACTAAGGTGATCATTAATAAGAAATGGCTTCATTGTTATTGCATATCACAAATGAAGAATAGGACAGGAGGGACATGGATGATAGTCATTTCACTGATAGTATCCTATGGAAGGGTAAGCTAATTGGTAACCTTTAGCAAAAATGTTCTTATTAGCATGTATACAAGTATCTGATTAGACTATTCTAACTCTTTTCCTTACATATGTATGCTATATGGCATTTACAGTTTTTAGACATACTTTTTCAATGTTTTTGGTACCTAAAATATGTTAGCAAAGCTTATTAACTTGTATCTGTAGGGTAAAAAAGATAGACACTTTCCCTTCATTTAACTTTCATATTAAAGTCAAACTTAAATATGTTAAACATGTTTTAATCTTTAATTTTTTTTCATATCAAAACAATCTCCATAGCAAACATAACTCAGACAAGTTTCCTGCATGAGAGAGAGAACCCTCACAATCATCAGTCATAACAGGTGTTATTAAAAAAGTTTTCTTACCCCATAAACAAGTTCTCCAACCATCCCATTCCAGATTTTTGTGTCTGCATCCCGGGCCCCATACTTGCCATCCCCAACAATTGTGAGCTTGTACTTGAATCCACAATGTTTAGCAATTTCTGCAGCTAAGTCCACACAGTAGCCCTCATATCGCTCATTTCCTTCAAGCAGTTCATGATTTTTCTTCATCATGACATATGGAGATTCCTACACAGACAGACTGATTTTTAGCTAGCCAATGAAGAGATAACTGTGGTATCGGTGCATTTATTATACAAATATATTTGATTTTAGACAGGAAAGAAGAAAATCCAACCCATCTCATTCACAAAAGTTCTGGGTCATTTATATTTGTCGCCTCCATTGTTAGTTCAACATGTGTTTTATAGCATTTAAAATTATAGGCTTCTGAGGCAGATTTAAAGGCTAATACTTTTAGGTATAACCAGTCCCAGAGAGATTTACATGATTACCATGAGTGTAATGGGAGTTGTGTATACACTGTGGAGAGAAGAGATGTTAATATATATTTTTAGTTTACTTTTGTACATTTGCGTATTAGTGTGTGGCTTGTGGGGTTTTCTTTTCAAAACTGTAATATCTGAGAGGGGTTTTCCCGGTTTTTCAGTTACCTCTCTCACTCACCCCCTCAATATTACAATATCTGCATAGAAATACTGAAGGGGTCCAAACAATAAACTAGAGCTGTGCAGCAATATTCTTACCACTAGCAAAATAGGTGAAAAATCATAGGTTCACAATGATTCTTGCCCCAATATATTTTCCACAAAAATCTTTCAGACAAAACAGCTGGTTTCTCTCCCAGTATATATCCATGGTTAAGAAACTGTATAAATTAGAGGACATTACTACAAACAGTATATAATGTTCTCTTAAAATGACACAGAAGATTAAGTTTCTTATTCATTCCTTCATTTTGGTAAAGAGGTTCAAAATGGCTACAGATAAATCTCTGATGCTCCTAAATACTTTTTGTTAATTTAGTGAACTTCATTTATTAATGAGTATGGAAAGTGGATTTAAAAAAATACAATTTTTCCATTCAGACAAACAGGTCTTAGAAATCAGGCTATTGGTTACTTGTAGCTGGCACAGATTTTTTAATAATTTTCCAACTAAGTTTACCAGTCAAAATAACGTTGATTTTTACAAAGCAAGTCCATGTACTGATCATCCTTTCTTTAACAGCAATTGGGCAGCATCACTCATTCCATTTATATTCCATAAAAATAGCAATTTAGAGGCTTCTGTATTATAGGTATGAAGTGGCATAACAGTAAACTAATACAATGTGGTTCAACAATTCATTATACTACTAAAACATAGATTGTGTTCTCACAAGGAATGTGTTTAAGTTAATTACCAAAATAGTGGTGACAACAATAGTCTTATTTTCTAGTCCTGAGGATTCATTCCCAAGAGGACCATCAATGGGATTCACAACCATTTTGTCCACTTCACTCCAATATCCAATCTGAAAAAGTTTGTAGAATGTATGGACACTAGTGAATATGAACCTTTGCATGGAAACATCTTATTACATTTAAGCATACCATACCGACTCCAAATATACCACAGAAAGTTACTGTAACTACTGCTTTACCTATATAAACATGCAGGAATTAGACAGAAATAGATAGATGAGCTAATAGACAGATTTTTATAGACAGAGTTTAATACTAATTTTTCCTACTACACTGGTTGAAATTTTCAAGCACATATCATTTGATTTTGGTTTAAAAGTCATGAAGGAGAAGTGTAATGATTATAAAAATAAAGACGAAATATTCACTGCTACTTTATTTGGCTTTTCTCTGAATGGCTTGTGATGTGGGAGAGAAAAAAAATCACATTTAGAGAATGCATTAATGACATTTATTCTCTGCAAAGTTGTATTTTGCATCATCAGTTGTGAAAGTCATCATTAATGTTTCTTTGAGGTAGTTGCTCTCACTTATCTGCTCTAACCAGAAGGAAACAAAACAAATTTCCATAATGTATTTAAAATAAAATAAGCTATAATTTCACATGGTACTTACCAGAAATAAAAGATCATATTTATTAGAAACAAACAGGGCACATTTTTTCTTTACTCTGCAAGACCATTAAAATATAATCATATGAATAAACTTAATTGAAAAAAGGCCTTTAGTTGACTATATCTTTCAGTCACCTACCTTTTCATATCACTTAGCAGAGTACAACTTTTTAGGGCATTTAGAATTATAATTACCTTCCGAGGACCAGTATTTTTCAGTTCCATGATGTTTATTGTATAATTTATTCTCTTTCCATTCTGGTCAAATTTTATATTTCCTGTTAGACCTTCCACCTGAACCTATGTGAAGTAAGAATGGAAATAATGGTAAAGTTAAATTTGTTTATCCCCAATAAACATTTTGCATTTCCATGACTGGATACTGATGGAAAAAAAAAGACTATATTTAGATTGATCTGACAAATTATATAACCTTAAGTTACTAAAGTGATATAATGATGCTGCTCTTCTAAATCACCAACAAAGCTTATTTTATGAGGCAGAAAGATTTTTCCAGAACATTCACAGAGTATTTCAGACAGACATTAATTCCAGAGTTGGTTATAGAGAGACTACCTGCTTTAATGCCCTCTCTATTTCCACACCATGACCCCAGGGCACTGCAGGATTTGCAAGACAATCTCCAGCATTTCCTCTTCTGGAGATCTCAATCCTTTGTTTACGTAAATTACGAAAAGCTTCAGTCATCACTTGAACAGCATCATAGGTTAGAGCAGATGTATACTGAAAAAGTATTAAATATAATGAATTAAAGAGTGGTAAAGAGTTAAAGCTTTCACATGTTTTCCAAGGCTATCATTATCAATCCACTAAAGAAAAAAATACCTTAAAAATAAAATAGATAATACAATATTCTTTGGGATTAGGCCATTTTCTTGTCATTTGGGGTTCTATTTCCTCACAGGAGTCCATACATTTTAATAGAAAGCAATAATATGCAGCATCCAAAGGAAAGGGTCACATGTACAATAATTAATCTAAACTAGGACTTACACCTTTCCTCCTAACTACAAGTATGCAATTACAGCAAATGTTTCATAGAAAAGTGATGTTTGGAAAATATTTGTTTTAGTATTTTTTGAGCAATTTAAGCCATAGGAAATGACAAGATTTCCCTTTTCATTACAGTCTTCCTTAATATCCCACTATAATAAGCTTATATAAGGTTAATAAATTATTGCTATGTGTTATAAGCTTGTCTAATGTATTTTATGGAGCATTATAAGCACATTAGTAGAAGGTGTTATAAATGGTTATAAGCCCTGGTTAAATTGATCTGTTGAACTGTTGGAATCTATAATAATTGATTAACCATTTATTAAAGCAGCTCTTAATATTAATTTGCCCTCTGTAAACTACTGTTAAATAGAACTCCAATACAAAATGTGAACCACTCATTAACCAGAGTGCTCTCTGTGGATTCCCACACGTACCTGGTCCATAAACAAAAGACCTTCATTTGGGGATCTCTGTATTGTTTTAATTAGAATCTTTGCTGTCTGGAAAACATTTACCCCTATATCTGGTGAAACACTGAGCACTCTGATAACATGCAATAAACAACAGCAGTACATATGTATTCAGCAGAATGTTGTACAGATGTGAGACATGGGTGATAATGAAAGATTTGAAGGGAAAGATATTGGCATTCAAGAGTTGTTACAGAAAGATCCTGAGAATAGGATGGATGCAGAAGGTCACCAAAGAGAAATTATATAGGAAGATACAGCCGAAAGAAAACCTACTGCAGAAATTTATACAATGGCAGTTACAGCTATTTGGGCATATCTGCAAAATGAATGACAAACGAAAAGTCAAGTGCCTGGTATTCAGCATAATGGATGGTTCGAATAGGAGAGGCAGACCCCACAGGGAATGGGTAGATGACATAGTAGATTGGTGTGGAGCTAGTGTACAAAAACTAAGCCACTCTGCACTGGACAGGGAAATATGGAAGGAAATAGTGAGGGAGGCATCGGGCACCAGCGGACATTGAACCCATGGTTGTTATTGCTATTGCTACTCATCATCAACAAGGTAACTTAACTCCTTGCTAGCAAACAAATGAGTGCTCTACAGACCAATTTATGCAAGCTGAGATGGATTAACTATATCTGAATGCAATACTCAAGATGAGCATAGATCATCAGTTCGTATCTGTTAGAATACAGGTTGAACCTCCTTTCTCCAGCACTCTCAGGAGCTGAGTGGTCCTGAACCATGGAGTTTCCTGAACAAGGGAAGGTCAAGCCTCCCTACATGGCTGTAGGCTCCGCTCCTAGCTGGGACTGCGCTCCGTACTGCCTGCGGCTGCCTCCAGCCCCCCATCATGCTGGCCCTGGCAGGGGCTGCATCCCCAACCATGCCAGTCCCACACAAGGGCCAGCTCCCCTGCCCGTAGTCCTGGCTGGGGATGTGCCCTCCCCCCACTGCACCAGTCCAGGTTGTGCACCCAGCTGCTGGCCCCACTGACTCCAGCCTGGGCCTGGGCTTCGCTCTCTGCTGCTAGCACCAGACAGGCCTGAGCTCCTGACTCCAATCCCAGATGGGGCTGCACTCTCTGCTGCCAGCCCTGACTGGGGCTGCATCCCCCTCCCCGGCACCACACCAGCCCTGACCAAGGCTGTTTTTTCCACCACGCCAGCTCCCCACCTTGTCAACCTCAGCCGGAGCTGTTCCTCTGGTCCCGCTGCCTCCAACCCCATCTGGGGATGCACTGCACACTGACAGCCCAACCTGGGCTGTGCTTCTGAATCCAGCCAGCTGGGGCAATATTGTCCAGCAATATCTGGCAACCACGGATGTTGCCAGATCAGAGTGTCCTGGATTTTAGAGGTTCAACCTGTACTTCAATTTTACTTTCTTTCCCATTCATAATACATTCTAAGTCTAACCATTTTTTTAAACTACAGAAATCATTGGGCAGAGGTTTCCTTTTCTTTTTTTTAAATTTTTTTTTCTGTATAATTAATTTAATTACCAAGGTACCTCTAACATGCAGTTTATGCTACACTATGCCATTAACACTTTATGACAGCCCTACATTTCATGTGGTTTAACAGTTGGTATGCTTCATGGAGGCATGTGATCATGTTTATTACTGATGGATCGTAAACTTCTTTAGAGAGGAAAACAGGTAGCGTTTAAACCTCAACTCCATAGCATTATGCTATTATTATTCCCTAACATTTATGCACTGGTACACTTTGAACCTTTCTAGGCACCCTCAAGACCCGAATGGCGCCAACCAGTGTATTTGCTAGACACGGGAGGTCAATATTGTCTCCTAGCATTACCAACACTTCCACTGCTTACTGGGCTCTTGGAAAAACTTTAAAAATGAGTGGTCCTGTAGCACCTTAGAGGCTAACAAAAATATAGATAGCATAGTGAACTTCAGTGGGCACAACCCACTTCTTCGGATGATGAATGGAGCAAGAGGCACAGAGGGACAAATTTAAAGGGGAAAAAGAGGGGAGGGGAAAGGAGAAAAGAAAAAAACCCTGTAAATGAAAGTGTCCATGATAAATATCATGCTAGACCATGGATGTTGCCAGACCAGACTACGGAGGATCTCGGTAGCCATTAGAGATCACAAGCCAATTTGGGTTCTGTTATACTAGGCACTACATATTTGCATTGCATTGTCCAATATGCATTATTTTGCATTTATCAACATTAAATTTTATCTGACATTTTGTTGCCCAGTTACCAGTTTGAGAGACCCTTTTGAAGCTCTTTACAGTCTGTTTTGGACTTAACTATCTTGAGCAGTTTTGTATCGTCTGCAGATTTTGCCCCCTCATTGTTTACTCCTTTCTCTGGATCATTTAGAAAAATGTTGAATATGATTGGTCCTCATATGGATCTTTAGGGAACACCTCTAATTTCCTCTCTGCAGTCTTAAAACTGACCTTCCCTCTTATCCCATGACAGCCTACTTTGTGTAAGAGCCTTTCGTGAGGGACCTTGTCAAAGACTTCATGTAAATCTAAGTACGCTATATCCACTGCATCCCCTTTGTTCACTTGCTTGTTGACCACATCAAAGAATTCTAGTAGATTTCTCAGTACAAAAACTATGTTGACTTGTAGTTCTAGAACCAGCTCTTACAAGAAGCAGTTGTTTAAGGTGTCAGGAAACTTTATCTCTGCATCCTGTTCTGAGGTGACATGTATCCAGTCAATCTGGGGATAGCTGAAATCCTCATTATTAATACGAATGAATAGTCCTGTGGCACTTTAGAGACTAGCAAAATATATAGAATTATGAGCTTTTGTGGGTAAAACCCACTTCACACTCCAACTTATCTGATGAAGTGGGCTTTGCTCACGAAAGCTCATGATTCTATATATTTTCCTTAGTCTCTCACATGTCACAGGACTACTCATTTTTAAAGTTACCAATTAACATGCCTACCCCTTTGAGACTTATGGTGGGGCGACTCCCCCACACTGGCTGAAAGGGATTAAGCAGGCTGGAGGGAGCCTGCACAGAACCTTGGCCAATTGGAGAGGAGCTTTTAAAAAAAGACAACCAGAGCGTGACTTGCTGAGGTGGCCCAGAATAGAAGGAGCTGCTCAGCAGAGAGTAAACAGTTGGGTCCTGACCAAGGAGTTTCATTCATTCATTGAGTCTGGTTCATTTCAGATTTTTACTTCATTTGATTCTAGGCTTTCTTTCACATATAGTGGCACTCCCCCACTAGCATGACTTGTTCTGTCCTCCTAATATATTGTGTACCCTGATAGTACTGTGTCCCATTGATTATCCTCAGTCCACCAAGTGTCCGTGATGTCTATTATATCAATATTCTCATTTAATACAAGCCACTCTAGTTATTTAGATGTCTAGTGTTTGTATGTAAACACTTTAAAAACTTATGATTGAATGGGACTCTTTTTCCTGTGACTGTTTCTCTCTCATCAGCTCTTACTCACATTTTATTATCTTCCACCCTCTCTTCTTTAATGGGACAAAAGAGAATCTCTATTAATGGATCCTCCCCTAAGGAGGATCTGATCCATGCGCTCCTCCCACCTGTAAGCTTTTCCCCAGCCATTAAGTTTGCAAACTGCTCTACAATCTTTTAAATCTCAAATGCCAGCAATCTGGTTCCATTTTGGTTCAGGTGGAGCCCATCATTCTTATGAAGGCTCCCTCTTACCCAAAACTTTCCCTGGTTCCTAATAAATGTAAAACTCCTCCTCCCTACACAATCATTTCATTCACACATTGAGACACTCCAGTTCTGCCTGTCTACCTGGCCCTGCACATGGAACTAGAAGCATTTCAGTGAATACTACCATGGAGATCCTGGATTTCCATCTCTTACCTAGGAGCCTAAATTTGGCCTCTAGGACCTCCTCCTATCCTTTCCTATGTCACTGGTACCTACATGTGCCATGACCAGCAGCTCCTCCCCAACACTACACATAAGTCTATTTGGATGTCTTAAGAGATCTGCAACTTAGCAAGCAAGTTACCAGGTGGTTCTCGCGGTCATCGCAAATCAGCTGTCTATGTTTCTAATAATCAAATTCCCCATTACCAATACCTGACTTTTTCTAATAATTGGAGTTCCTTCCTCTGGAGGGAGAGGATATCACATCATCATCTGGAAGGAGAGTTACAATTATGGGATCATTTCCCTCTGCTCCAGTTGAATGTTCTCTTTCACCCTCCACCACCACACAGTGGCTGTCTGATTACAGGTTGGGACC